TAGACCAGGCTGGCTTGAACTCAAAGATCTGTCTGCTTCTGCTCCCGAGTGCTGGGATTAAAGGGGTGTACCACCATGCCTGGCTGAAGGTGAACATTTTTTGAGAATGACAGTGGAAGTTACCCTATGGTGTCTGCATGGGTGCATATGGACACATGCACACACTTGCTTTCAAAAGATAAAAAATAGAACTAGGCCAGTCACGGTGGCACATGCCTTTAATCCCAGCACTTCAAAGGCAGAGGCGGGTATACTTTTGTGGGTCAAGGCCAGCTTGGCCTACAGAGTGAGTTCCAGGACAGCTAGGGCTTTTTGGAAAAGAAAAGAAGAGAAAAAAAACAAAACAAAACACTAAACTATTAATGATGCAGTTGTAACACTGAGTATTCACCCAAAAGTCAACAGATAAATAACTGTATTTATTGCTGTACTGTTCATAATAACCAAAAAATGAATTGATAAAATATTCTGCATAGTCACAATAGAATTTCAGCCCTAAAGAATGAAATGTCATTTGCAGGAAAATGAATGCAGCCAGAGATCATATTAAGTGAAAAAGTCAGACTTGAAAGACAATACCATGTTTTGGGTCATTTGTGGATCATACATTTTCATAATATTTTTTTTTAAGATGCACAAAAATCCCCCCCCCCTTTTTTTTTTTTTTTTTTTGCATGTTATGAAAGTGGAAGTGAAACAGCCAACAGAAGGCATTAGCAGGAGGAAAGGAAAGAGGAGGGAATGGAAGGAGAGTGGCTAAAGCTCATGGTATACTCACGGTGTGTTTGTGAACCCATTAATATATACATCAGATACATACCAATATAATATATTCTGTTTAAGAGTTTCTTTCATTCGCTGCTTTTGGACTTGTAAATAATCTTTTTGCCTCAGCTTTCCAGGTGTGAGTTTACATCACTAGGCCTGGCTTTCTGTCCACTTTTGTACTATTATTAATGTGCATCTTTGTACTATTATTAATGTGCATCACTTTCAAGTACTGTTTCTCACCTTAGTTCTTCTAAAAGTGTATGGTCCTTGATGCCACATAGACTTTCTGTAGGGAATTGATTCACCCCATCACCCTGTGTGTCTCTCTCCTTCCTTGTTTATACACACACACACACACACACACACACACACACACACACACACACACACACACACACACACCCCCCTCTCTCTCTCCTCTCTCTCTCTCTCTCTCTCTCTCTCTCTCTCTCTCTCTCTCTCTCTCTCTCTCTCTCCCTCCCCCCCTCTCATTCACTCACTCACTCACTCACGGTCATTCATAAGGTAACATAATATTTGTGTGTAGCTTTAGTCTGTTACCTAGCTCAATGCTGTCATAGTTGTTTATGGTTTTGAGCCATGGTTTCATGTAGTTCAGGCTAGTCTCAAATTCCATATGCCAAGTTAGGCCACCTGAGGCTAGCCTAGAACTTATATCCTCCTACCACCACCTCCAAAATACTAGGATTACAGGAGTGTACTGTCATTGTACATTCCTAGTACAATGTAAATGTTTTATAATTACTTTCTAGTGCTTAGGGAGTAATGGTAAGATGAAAAGTATTTTTAGACATGGCTTAAATATTTTTATTACATGTATTTGTGAATGGAGAGGCATGCACGTGCCACAGCATATGTGTTGAGTTCAAAGACAACGATGTGGGAGTTGATGCTCTTTTTCCACATGAAGATTGAACTCAGGTTGTCAGGTTTGGCAACAAGTGCCTTTATCTCCCAAGACATCACATTGGCCCTGCTTCAAATATTTTGATCTATGATTTAGTTGAGTCCATGGGTAGGGAACTCACCAACTGTATTTTAAAATAATAATTATCTCATGCTTGTAAATGAACGGTTATTTTTTATTTTATTTATTTATTTATTTATTTTGGTTTTTCGAGATGGGGTTTCTCTGTGGCTTTGGAGGCTGTCCTGGAACTAGCTCTTGTAGACTAGGCTGGTCTCGAACTCACAGAGATCCACCTGCCTCTGCCTCCCGAGTGCTGGGATTAAAGGCCTGCGCCACCAACGCCCGGCTTGAACAGTTCTTTTAATACTTACCAATTGGTTATTTAATGTGTACCTCTTATATGTCAAACTCTATTGTAGGCATTCTCAGTAAACACAAAAATCCTTATAATTTAGCATGCACTGAACAAAGACCTTATGACTTTGACAATATTCCCATCTTTTTGAAAATTTATTGTTATGTGCTTTGATGTTTTGCTTACATGTATGTCTGTGTGAGAATGTCAGATTTTGGAGTTACAGACAGTTGTGAGCTGCCAGGTAGGTGCTGGGAATTGAACCCAAGTACTCTGGAAGAGCAGTCAGTGCTCTAAGCTGCTGAGCCATCTCTCCAGCTCCCAGTAGTTCCTTTCCTGATACAATATTTTCCTCTGTTTTATTTTTCTGGTCATTGAACAAAGTAAATTAAAAGAGGAAGATCTTCTTTGGACTCATAGTTCAGAAGGTAATTCTGTATATTGTGCCAGGGAAGGAAGGCATGGAGGCAGGATTCGTTCCTGTTTATGGCAGAGGGAATGTGAGGCATTTGCTCATATTTTGATGGACCAGAAATCAGGGACAGACTGAGATGTGGCCAGAAGTGGGACTGAACTCTAACCTCTAAGACTTGGCCTCTCATAACCCACTTCCTTCCTAGGTCCTACCTAGTGAAGAGTTTACCTAAAAACAGCACCACCAGCTGTTCAACCACAAGCCATAACATCCTCCTATCCTGAAAGTCTTACTTGTCTTTTCCTCACAACATCTGCTCATTTTGAGTCTTAATGAGAGCCCTGGCTGAGCTGGAAATTGCTTTGTTGACCAGGGAAGCTTTGAACTTGTAGTAGGTCCCCTGTCTCTGATTCCTTTGTGCTTAGATTACAAGCATGCATTGCCATATCTTGGTACATTGTCTGCTCTTGAAAAATGTATTGAGAACTGTAGCTCAGAAGTAGAGCGATTCCTTGTCAGGCATGGTGGCACATGTCTGTGATCACACCACATGAACCACACCCAGCTTCCCATTTTAGGTTTGACTGTAGTTATTAAATCTCCTAGATGGCAATTTCTGACTTGTAAAATGAAAATGATTAGAATCACTGATGTACTCCTTGGAGAAGGTCCCTACTTGAATATGAAACAGTTACTTGGTATTACAAAACATTAAAATGAAAATAGCTAGCATGACAATTTTACATGTGAAAATACACATGATGTTAGTCCAGATATCACTTGTTTTTTGTTTTTTTATTTTTCATTTTTGGAAAATAAGGTTGCTTAAATTAATGGATATTTAAAAGCCTGGTTTGGAGCTGGGGATGTGGCTCAGTGGTAGAACACTTGCCTAGCACACACAAGACTCTCTGTTCTGTCCCCAGCACTTCAAGAAAGTAAAACAAATCAACATTTTAGGGGCTAGGGAAATGGCTCAGCAGTTAAGAGCAGTGGCTGCTCTTTCAGAGGACCTAAGTTCAATTTCCAGCACTCACATGGCAGCTCACACCTGTCTATAACTCTTATTTCCAGGGGATCTGGCACTCTCATACAGATATACATGCAGGCAAGACACCAATGCACATGAACTAAAAGTAAATTTAAAAAGTTTTTAAAAGCCTGGTTTTAAATCAGAGCTACTTTTTTTTTTTTTTTTTTTTTTTTTTTTTTTTTTTTTTTTTTTTTTTTTTTTTTTTTTTTTTTTATAGGATTTCTCTGGGTAGCCCTGGTGTCCTGGAACTTACTTTGTAGATCAGGCTGTCCCCCCCCTCCTGAACTCAGAGATCTTTGCCCCTGCCTTCTAGTGGTGGAACTGAAGGTATGATACTACTGCCACGCTGAATCGAAGGTTTTTTTTTTTTTAATTTTTAATATTTATTTATTATGTATACAGTGTTCTGCCTGCATGTGCACTTGCACTAGAACTCTTGATGGATGGTTGTGAGCCATCATGTGGTTGCTGGGAATTGAACTCAGGACCTCTGGAAGAGCAGCCAGTGCCCTTAACTTAAAGCCATTTCTCCAGCCTAATTGAAGCTTTTATTGTGTTCATTTTCTATCATTTCTCTTTTAAATATGACTTGTCCCATTTCCAAATGCTGAGTGAGCACTGTGTGCTGAAGCTGCTTTCAGTCATCAGGCTCTGGTGTGAACCACTCAGCTTAGCTCCCTGCTTGAGCAGCTCACCCTCTAGTAACAGGCACTAAAGAAGTAGTTACTTCAAAACTAAATAGGAACTCTGTTCTAAATCGTTTTATCAGCTTGACACAAGCTAGTCATCTGAGAGGAGGGAACCTCAATTAAGAAAATGCCTCTAGTTGGGTGGTGGGCTGTGCACGGCTTTAGTCCCAGCACTAGGCAGGCAGAGGCAGGGGGATCTCTATGAGTTTGAAGCCAGCCTGGTCTGCAGAGCAAGTTCCAGGACATCCAGAGAAACCCTGTCTCGAAACGAAAAAAAAAAAAAAAGTAGTAGTAGTAGTAGTAGTAGTAAATGCCTTTATAAGATTGGGCTGTGGGCAAACCTGTGGACATTTCCATAATTAATGATTGAAGGGGAAGGGCCCAGTCCATTGTGTGTGGTGCCATCTGTGGGTGGTGGTCCTGGGTTCTATAAGAAAGCAGCTGAGCAAGCCATGAGGCATAAGCCAGTGTTAGCACTCCTTCATGGCCTCTGCATCAGCTCTTGCCTGCAGGTTCCAGTCCTGTTCCTGTTCTGACACTTCCCTCAGTGATGGACTATGATGTGGAAGTGTAAGTCAAATAAACCCTCTCCTCTCCAACTTGCTTTGCTAATGGTGTTTCATCATGGCAATAGTAATCCTAACTGATACACTCTCTGAAAATACTTGGTATGTGGGAGAACTTAAAGAGATGATGCTAGACATAAAATGGGTGACTGCTTTGGATGGTTTGAAAGCAAAGTGATGTTTTCTGCTACTGTTTTTAAATCTTTGGATACTAACCCACTCTTTACTGTTTACTTCCAGTTTGTGAAGTGTGGATATGCCGGCTCTAACTTTCCGGAACACATCTTCCCAGCTTTGGTTGGAAGACCTATTATCAGATCAACCACCAAAGTGGGAAACATTGAAATCAAGGTAATGTTTTATTCCATGCTAAATAACTCTGAGGATGTGTGAGGTGATCTTTGAATTAAGTAGTGTAAAGTATAATTTCAGGAAAATCAAGGAAGAGAACAGAACTCATAATTTTAATGTATAGTAATACCTCAGCAAAGGCAAAACCCCCTGAAGTTAATTTTATCTTTTTGTTTATGGATAGTGTGGTGCCATTCTAATATGGAGTATAAAACATGAGCTTTAAAATTAGGTACAAAATTGATAGGTATTAGTGCCTATGTTGTCTTAGTGTGTGAGACTTGGGGCTTTTCTCTCCCGTGTTTCCATAGCCTGACCTCCTACTCTTTTATGCAGTCAGTCAGGAAAACCCAGAAGTCTAAACTTGGTTCCTCTTCTCACTATTACAGTTGATTTTCATAATGTATGGGAGGAAGCCAGGCAGAGCTTTACTTGCTCTCACACTGATTGTCTTACCATAATGGAAGAGAGGCCAAAGTACTTTAGATGACAGATGAGATACTCAACAAATTTTTCTCCCACCAAACTAGAGATCAAGCAGGAGACACGTTATTTTGTAAGAAACAGAATAATTAAATGATCAACCAATTGACTTCACATTCTTCAGGTGGTTCAATCCACATTATGTAAAACAGTAGAATTTAGGGGCTTTTTTTTTTTTATCGAGGCTTTATTTTTTATTTATTTTTTAAAAATAGTTAACATTATGGTCTTGTTTGGACAGTCTTTGGCAAGACTTAGGATGTACATCTCTGAAGTGCTAAGAAAGATGATAGTGGGTGATAATAGATGATAGAGATTTGCTGTGTTCTAGGTCTCTACTGTGGGAGCTAGAGAATTGAGTTATGTAATAAAAATACACAATGGAAACTTAGGTTCTGTGTTTGTTTTAAAAACCTAAAACTGATTTCTGGCCTTCGGTAGGTCTCAGTAAGTAGTTCACATTTTAGGAGAGGCCTTGTGGGAAAATTTGTTTTTTCTCTTTTCATAAATTTTCATTCTGATTGAATTTTTCCTTTCTTTTTTTTTTTTTTTTCCTTTAAGGAGACAAGGTCTTACTATGTAGCCTTGGCTGGTTTTGAACTCAGAGAGCCGGCCTTTGCCTCCAAGTGTAAGCTTAAAGGCATGCATCAGGAAGCTAATGTGATGAGGAAATACTGAGTGTAAATAATGCATTTTATTTAGTGTCTGGCTTTAAACATTTTTTATGGATGATAACATTTTTGAGGCTCAGAGAAACATAGGTAGCCGTTTTTATTCTCCAGCAGGACAAAAACAACACATTTCTTCTCACCTTATTTTCTTGCTTTTTAAGGCCAAGTAATAAAAATTAACAGTTTCCTTGTGAGACATTTTCCAGGGACCACCCCAGTAGTGATTGCTGACACAGTTTGTCATTCTGTGTTTTTACTTCAGTTCTTTTCACACTGCTGTCTTTTAAGCCTTTCAAGTTAAATTGCTTTTAGATAAACAGTCCTGAACTAACTTACCTACTCAGCTAGACCACGAGTTTTCCATGTTTTTCTTAATTGAAGTTCTTAAATTCAATAATGAATTAAAGTTTGACTATTTGGAATTCCTATACTTAGATAATTGACTTATATTTGTAAATCTTGTTAGTTAAAATGTGATGGTAGACTAAGACAATGGACATTTAAATCATTTAGTTAATTTTCATTTAGGAGTAATTACTGTCCGTGTTCATTTGGCCCTGATAATTAACACCATAAGATATAGTAGTACTGCATCTGACCTCAGCCTAATTGTCTCTGTTGCTTGTATGTTTAAACCTTTCAGTGAGGATTTTATGTAGGCCTTTTCTGACTCTTGCTTCTACCTTCTCTCTCTTCACCTTTCTTGACCTGTTGAAGTAGAATAACAAAAAGATGGTAAGTGAGGTTACACACATGCTCTGTTTGTTTTCCACTTTTGCTTGGTGGGACAGTAGTTGTTGTTTTGTGTCCCTTTAGTTTTGGGGAGGGGGAAAATCCATATTTTTGTTTTAAGTGCTTTAATTTTTAACCTTTTCCATTTCTTCAGTTTGGTAGCAACTAATAAAGTCCTATACTTTCCTGATTGCATACAATGAACCAAACAAGAACTAATTACTAACATAGTTTTGAATTGTTTTCTTTATTTTTTGTAGATGAATGTTATAATTAAAATGGAATGTGGTGTGCATAATACCGAAATGAAGTAGCTATGTGATACAGACAGAAAATGGGTGCATTTGTTACATTTGGAGACTTAGTTTATTGATTGATGTTATATATTGCCTAGTATACTGAATGCATATATTTGCAATCAGTGTGATAATATATACATACTTGGTAAACTGAGTAAAATTTTAATGTATACATGAAGATAAGTGAAAAAGTAATAAAAAACCTTGTTTCCATGTCATCCTTGCTGATGAGTAGATTTGACATTATCTGAGAATAAATAAGAAAAATATAATATACCTATCAGGCTTTCCCACAAATAAAAGGCCACCCCCCACACACAGAGACAAGTAAGTACCATTGTGTAGTCCCCCCCTTTTATAAAACAAACAACTAGAGTCTTGTCTATCCCAGACATTTTACTGTGTTACTACATTTTTCCTGGTGGACTTTAAGTCTGGAAATTCTTAATTTTTTTATGAATAAAAGAGCATGCATTATCTTAAATACTAAAGAGATTTTTAGAAAGGCTGTACTTGTAGAGAATAGTATAGGCATAATTTTTAAGTTCTTTTTAAATCAGAAATAGAGTATCTAATTGGTATTATAAATATATTTGTTCTTTCAGTATAAAAGTAAAATTCTCATGCTGGGTGAAAAGAAAGAACATGATTTGAGATGTAACCTCATTCTGTAACCTGCACTCCAATCTGCACTTGCCTGGTTTCACAGACTTTCCTTCTGGGAGTGTAATTGTTTAAAGCTTGTATTTTTTCCTATTTCCTAGTTCAGAGTGACATTGTTCAAAATCATTATTTGCAAATATAATGTATCCTAAATAAATGGCTTTAGTCCAGTGTCTCGGTTACTGTGAGTTTTCTTTCAGGTACCAGATGAGGTTTAGGCCTGAAGTCCAGTGGTGGGCAACAGTAAATCTCAAGGCTGCTCTGAACTTTCCTGTTTGGTTCTGAAGGGAGAAATGTGTTTGGTTAGTTGGTGGTTGGTTTTGGTTTTTCAAGACAGGGTTTCTCAATGTAGCCAGTCTTGGCCATCCTGGAACTTGATCTGTACCAGGCTAGCTTTGAACTCACTGAGATCCACCTGCCTCTGCCTTCCTAGTGCAGGGACTATAGGTGTGCGCCACCACTGCCCAGCTAGGTTATTAGCATTTTTGACATTTGAAAGTTGAAGGGTTCTAAGGGAGAATTTATATATGGGCTAGGTTTTGTTTGATTAGTTGTTTTTTTTTTCTCAGACAAGGTTTCATAAAGCTTAGGCTGGCATCACACTTGCTGTGGAGCCTAGGATAGCCTTGAGCTACTGATCTTCCTGCCTCAGTTTCTTTGTTTGTTTGTTTGGTTTTGGTTTTCCTAGACAGGGTTTCTCTGTGTAGCCCTGGCTGTCCTGGAACTCACTTTGTAGACCAACGCCTCACTCTCTTGAGTTTTGGCTGCTTAGTGTTTTAATCTCCATATGTAGCTCAGACTGAGCTTGAACTCTGGCATTCTTCATCTTCCTACATAGGCCTTTGGGGTTCTAAGATTCTAAGTGTGTGCCACAATATCTGTCAGTCATTGCTTGTTTTTGTTTTTTTGTTTTTTGTTTTTGGAGACAAAGTCTCATATCTCCAGCTGGCCTTGAACTTCTGATCCTCTTTCCTCTGCCCCCCAAGTTCTACGATTACAGTGTGCCATCATGCCTGATCTTTGGCTAGGCTGGGGATGGAACGCAGGGCTTTCGTGCATGCTGGGCAAGCGCTACACCAGCTGTGCAACATCTCTGGCCTATCTGATGGTTTAAAAATAATTTTGTCAACCTTCTTTTCATTTAAGTCCCTTGAACTCATACATTTCCATTTTTAAATGTTCCTTTTCAGAGGGGACTAAGGATATTCAATATCAGATGTCCCCTTCAGTTACCAGTTCATAATATGTGTGGCCCTAGAAGATTTATAAGGCTTTTATTTTGAGTTCCCATAAGGTCCAGCATCTATAAGTCTCTGTTTTGCTGTTGTTGTTGAGCTTTTTTGTTTGTTTGGGTTTTTTGTTGTTGTTTGTTTTTGGTTTTCTGAGACAGGGTTTCTCTGTGTAGACCTGGCTGGCCTTGAACTCAGAGATCCACCTGCTTCTGCCTCCTGAGTGCTGTGATCAGAGTTGTGCACCACAACCGCCACCTAGCAATAAGCCTCTGTTCTTAAGAATAAAAATAAGTATTCTGTTGAAATCGGATCATACTCTAAATTCTTTGAAATAATAGTGATTACCAACCAATTGTCTAGATCAGTTGTCTTGTTATTACATTGAAAAATACATTTATCATAGGATCAAGTAAGTAACAAAAAGTGGAACAAAATTATACTTGTTAATAGCCAAAAGTAGCATATATTTGCAGGTGTAGATTTTTTTTCTCTATTTTTTATTAAATGTTTAGCACATACAGCTATGTTAAACAGGTTTTACAGACCCTCCAGATACCTATCGCCTAGTGATTCCAATATTAATATTTGTTATTCTAAACCAGGATTAGAGGTGCACACCTTCAATCCTACTGTAATCCCAGCACTGGGGAGTCAGAGGCAGGCAGATCTCTTTATGTTTGAGGCCAGCCTGGTTTACATATAGAGTTGCAGGACAACCAGAGCTACATAGGGGAATCCTGTCTCAAAAACAAAACATTCTGATTAACTACGTACCTTTTCATCCATCAAAATGCCTTGGTTTTTGGTTTATTTTGGTTTGGGTTGGGTTTTTTTTGTTTTTGATGTTTCACTAAGTTACAGATACTAGTATACTTATCACTAAATACTTCATCGTGCATGAAGTGTTAATTTTGAGAAAATTGACTTTATAAGAAATTAGTTGCAATAGAAAGTTTTAGTGAACTTTTCCCCCTTTTGCCATTAGTATATCTTCCAGAAACCTGCCTTTTAATAGACTCCTTATCCTGGTTTTCAAGTTTAAAATTACTTTTCTGAGACATTTCTAGTTCTTTTTTTTTTTTTTTTTCCAGCACTGCAGATTGAACTACTAGGGCCTTGCATATGCTAGGCAAGCACCCTGTCACTGCATTACAGCCCCACCCCTAAAGGTCATATTTTTTAAAACTTCATTTTACATCTTCTTGGTTTTGCAATTTCTTTTCTTCATTTCCTCATAATTTGAACTTTTATTATACCAAATAGTAGCTATTTCTGATACTAATTTTTAATTGGATTCATCAGTGTAGAAATAATGTTTGGATTAATGATTTCCAAAAAAATTATTAAAAATATTGTTTGCTTTGTTATGCATACAAAGTTTGATTTTTTTTTAATTTAATGTGGGTCACCTTAAATATGCTGTCATTGGAGAGGGTTGTGAGTATTGTGCTTCATGAAATACAGCATTGACTTCCAGTGTTATACTTCAGGGTTAAAAATACTGCCTATGAGATAACTTTAAAGGAGTTGTTCTAATGCGTACACACACAGATAGACGTTTGTGAAATTTGTTAAGTGTGTGTGTAAGAGAGAGAGAGAGAGAGAGAGAGAGAGAGAGAGAGAGAGAGATACATTGCTATAGAAGAATGAAGAATCATGATTTTTGCACCTACATTGATATAATTTTGATAGTAGAAAGAAATGTGCTTGTGTGCATTGAGCATTTTCAAGTTATTTTTTTCCCCCTGATGTGCTATTTCACATATCACAGGACTTATTTTTTGAACATTTGAGCAAAAGAAACAGATGAAACCTCATACAAAATCCTTCAAAATATGAAAATATGGGGTTTATTTGTGCTAATGCTCTTCTTTTGGAAACATGTATTAAAGGTAAGGTCAATTTATTGATTTAAACACATAGTACATAAAATATTGATTAAATTTTGTAAACTGGTCTCAAAAAAAAAAGAGTTAACTTTGGAGTAAAAACTCTTGATCTGCAAGTCCTAGAAAAATTGGAATTCAGTTATTCGCAAGTTTTCTAAAATCCAGGATTATAATTTTCTAAAGCATCTTTATGTAAAACTTTGACTGTTTTAAAGCTTTACCATCCCATCTTCTAGGATCTTATGGTCGGTGATGAGGCAAGTGAATTGCGCTCAATGTTGGAAGTTAATTACCCCATGGAGAACGGCATAGTACAAAATTGGGATGACATGAAACACCTGTGGGATTACACATTTGGACCAGAGAAACTCAACATAGACACCAGAAACTGCAAAATTTTACTCACAGAACCACCTATGAACCCAACCAAAAACAGGGAGAAGATTGTAGAGGTACGTTTTTGATGAACTGCATATCCATGTGTATATCTATGATAGAATGTTAAACCAGAATTTTTTTTCTTCTTGCTGCTTCTGCTAAGGATAAATAAAAGCAACCATTTCTCCCTAGATCCTGATTATTTTGCATTTACTATGGATTGAGGGGTGCTCATCTGAAATCTGAAATGTTATGATCATGTTGATGATGCTCATGAAATTTTGAATTGTGGAACATAAAATTTGGATTTTTGGATAAAGGTATTCACCTGGTAAATAGTAAATATTCCAAATTTAAAATCAGAGATCTCTCTGGTCTCAAGCATTTTGGATAAGGGACAGTCAACATGTATATACTAGTAGATGAGAACATTCCCCTCCCCAAAAATGAGGTGATGAATTACGTAGTTTATTAGAAAGTAATAGATCGGGCTGGAGAGATGGCTCAGAGGTTAAGAGCACCGACTGCTCTTCCAGAGGTCCTGAGTTCAATTCCCAGCAACCAAATGGTGGCTCATAACCATCTGTAATGACATCTGGTGCCTCTTCTGGTGTGCAGATATACATAGAAGCAGAATGTTATATACATAATAAATAAATAAAATCTTTTTTTTTTTTTTCAAAAAGAAAGTAATAGATCTAGTGGAAAAACAATTCAGGGGGCTGGAGAGTTTGCTCAGAGGTTAAGAGCATTGACTGCTCTTCCAGAGGTCCTGAGTTCAATTCCCAACAAACACATGGTGGCTCACAACCATCTGTTATGAGATCTGGTGCCCTCTTCTGGTGTGCAGATATACATGGAAGCAGAATGTTGTATACATAATAAATAAATAAAATCTTAAAAAAAAAAAAACAATTCAGGAAAATAGTCTGGAATTCAAGATAAAAGCTACAAAGTCACAGTGGTGGTGCACGCCTTTAATCCCAGCACTTGGGAGAAAGAGACAGATGGATCTCTGTGAGTTAGAGGCCAGCCTAGTCTACAGAATGAGTTCTAGGCCAGTCAGGGCTACTCAGAGAAACCCTGTTTTGGAAAACAAACAACAACAAAAAACTACAAAGTCTTTGATATGTTATTTTTCACCAAAGAAGTGAGAGAGAAGGCAGTGGTAAGAGGCTGGGGACCAGAGGGAGGAATCTGCCAAAGAGATTGAACCAGCTACTGAGGTGAAGGCAGGCAGGGGGGCTTCATTATTGGTTTAGATGATGTACTTGGGAGGACTTTACATTTTGGTGTATGTACACACAGTAGCATCACTTCTTTATTAAAGGGATGCTGGGATAGAATGTTAGATCAATTAATTGATGAAGATACATTCCAAAGTTGTAAAATTGAAGTTCTGTATAGTTCTCATTGCAGTCAATTGTTAAATATCTAGATATTCATAGTGACAACCCTATTGGTCAGTGAGTGCTTATAATGGATGGACAAAAGAAATCATGTAAGATTTTCTCAGCTGACATGGGCTGCAGAGAATGAGCACAAATGTGACCAGGGAGGGCCCAAAGAAATACCTTCCTTCAGTGTGAAGTGGAGTTACAATCTGGCCTCAAGTAGAGAGGCAACCGAGGAGTCTCTACATCTGACTACTTAGTATTTTAATTTTTGTCTTAGTCTCATAGCATTCATTCATTCCACTGCTAGGGAATCAGATCCAGAGTGTCATTGACTAGAAAGAACTCTTCTACTGAATTACATCCCTAGTCCTATTTCTTACTTGTTTTTAACTGCCACGGGGGTGGGGGATGTGTGGGGAGTAGAGCCAGTTTTGAATCAGGCTGGGGGAAATAAGCAGGTATTTTTTTCTCTTCATTATTTGTGTGTGTGTGTGTGTATGCCTGTGCACACTGGACTGTCGCATGTATGCAGGTTTGGGGGAGTTGGTTTTTACCTTTTACCGTATGGATTCTGGAGATTGAAATAAGGTCATCAGGCTTTTTGCAGCTGAGCCATCTCTCTGGGCCCAAGAGAATACATCATTTTATTTCTTTATTTTGATTTTTTTACACTGATTTCTCTCTCTCTCTCTCTCTCTCTCTCTCTCTCTCTCTCTTTGTGTTTGTGTGTGTGTGTGTGTGTGTGTGTGTTTGTGAGAGTGCACAGGCACAATTGAGTGCCACTCTCTATATGTGGAGGTGAAAGGACACTTTTTGACAATCAGTTTTCTCTATTTGACAAGTTGGTCCTGGGGCTCAAATTCAGGTTGTTAGACTTGGTGGCAACCACCTTTACTAGCTGAATAATCTTGCTGGTCCCAGGCAAGTAATTTTTTTTAAGGGGGTATGATTTAGGAAACTTAATATGATGCTTGCTTTTGTACTGATTAGCCAATGACTGTAATATATTCAGAAATCTTTGCTTGTAGTGCTTACAAATGTTGAGACTTGACTCAGATGTATACAGGCACGCATGCATGTGTGTATCCAAAACCCTGCCCTAATAATTGTATTCAGAGGTAGGCTTTATAAGGGCAAGAACAACTAGTTAGATGATTCCCCAGGTCCTTTGCTTGCATCTTAACTGATCTGCCATGTGAGCATGAAGGAAGTACATAAGTTTTCTGCATAATCCACTTCCCGTTTTTTTCTTCTCTTTCCATTTTTAGGTAATGTTTGAAACTTACCAATTTTCTGGTGTGTATGTAGCCATCCAGGCAGTTCTGACTTTGTATGCTCAAGGTAAGTAAAGCTTAACTGTTAGGAAAATTATTCAGTAAACACTAAATGTATGTGTGTGCATGTGTTGTTTTGTTTTTTTCTGTTTGTTTTTCGAGGCGGGTTTCTCTATGTAACAGCCCTGCTGTCCTGAAACTCGCTCTGTAGACCAGGCTGGCCTCAAACTCAGAGATTCACTTGCCTCTGCCTCCCGATCACTGGGATGGAGAGTTGACTTAGTGGTTAAGTGCATTGAATGCTGTTGCCAAGTACCCAGGTTATATTCCTCCTTTGGAGCCATCTATGACTCCAGTTCCAGGGGATCCAGTTCCCTCTTCTGGCCTCCAAGGGCACTGCATATTCTTGGTAAACACCATTACTTATCAATAAAAATAAATAAATCTAAAAAAAAAAAAAAAAAGAAAAGACATTACTTATCTAAGGTATCACTTCAGAACTTTACAATTGTATGTGTCTTTGTCAGTTTGTCTGTGTGTCATGTGCATGTATGTGTAGGGATGCATGCTTGTGGAAGCCAGGGGTTGACATCAGGTGTCTTTCTCGTTCTCCACTGATATTTTAGAGACAGCTTTCCTCTTTAGTTGACCTGGAGTTCACTGAATGACTGTCTGCACTTCCCAGTGTGGAGACTCCAGCCTGTGTTGCTATAGCTGTTGTTTTATGTGGGTGCTGGGGACTCAGACTCCAGTCCTTATGCTTGGGCAGCACTTTACCACTGAGCTAGCTGCCTAACCAGACCACTGTACACTTTGTCATTTGTCATCTAAATGCCACATGCATTTTTACTTGCTTTATTAAAAAGGAATCTAAGCTTAAAATGATAGCCATTGGGTTTTTGTTTTGATTTTTTTTCCAGCTGTTTTGAATTTCTATACATTACAAAGGGCTAGAGATGGCTTATCAGTTAAGATCACTGCTGCTTTTCCAGAGGACCTGGGTTCATTTCCCAGCATCCCTGTGGGCTTACAACTGTCTGTAACTCCAATTCTGATGTCCTCTTTTGGCCTCCTTGGCATGTGGTGCACAGGCACACAAGCAGGTGACACATTCATACACAAAATAAAGATGAGTGAATTAAACCTTAATTGAGAATAAACATAGTGTTTATTCTCAGAATTGGCTTGAGTTTAAAAAATATATTTTAAAAGATTAGTTGCTGGGTAGTTTTATGTCCCCTTGACACATGTTAAAAGAGGAGGGGGCATATATCTGAGAGGAGGGAACCTCAGTTAAGAAAATGCTTCTAGAGCAAAGTGGTGGTGGTTCATAACTTTAATCCAGCCTGTTCTACAGAGATAGTTCTAAGGCTACATGGACAGCAAAGAATAGACAAAGCTACACAGAGAAACCCTGTAACAAAACCCAAAACCAAACAAACACAAAAAGGAAGTGTGTGTGTGTGTGTGTGTGTGTGTGTGTGTGTGTGTGTGTGTGTGTGTGTGTGTGTTAAGAATTCCATCTTGCATCAGGAGGAGTTACTTTATGTGTGTCACTGTTTTGCCTACATGTATATGTGTTCTACCTACATGGACCCAGAATAATACATTGAATCCCCTAGTACTGGAGTTACAGTTTTAAGTTGCATTGTAGGTATTGGGACCCCACTCAGGTCCTGAAAGAGTAGTAGGGGATCTTAACTGCTGAGACTTCTCTGGCTCCCCAAAAGAATTTATAAGAAAACTGATACTAATATATTTTCCTAGTAAAATTTATGAATTAACCTCTTTCCAATTAGAAGATAACCTTTTTTTTTTTTTTTTTTTTTTAAGATTTATTTATCATGTAGTGTTCTGCTTGCATTGTATGCCTGCACGCCAGAAGAGGGCACCAGATCTCATTATAGATGGCTGTGAGCCACCATATGGTTGCTGGGAATTGAACTCAGATAACCTCTGAGCCATCTCTCCAGCCCCAAGATAACTCATTTCTTAATTGCTTATATTTATCTATTTTTATGTAACTGTTGACTATTTAATTTTGAGAAACAATAGCTCAGTAAAATTAATTAAATAACTACAAGCTTAGCAATCCCCAGCACTTGGGAGGCAGAGGCCAGAGAATCTCTGTGAGTTCAAAGCCAGCCTGGACTATAGAGAGAGTTCCAGGAGCGCCAGGGCTACAAAGAGAAACTCTGTCTCAAAAAACCAAAATAAATAACTGCAAACCATGTGTCTTCCTAACTTGGTGGTTAATATTTTCAGGAAAAATGAGTTGGAGAGATGGTTCAGTAGTTAAGAGTACTTGCTGCTTTTGCAAAGGACCTGATTTCAGTTCCCAGCTCTTGAGGTCAGGCAGCTTACAGCACCTGTAATTCTCGATCCAGGAGATTGGGTGCCCTCTTCTGATCTCCACAGATGTGCACACACAAACACATATGCACAGATACATGATAAAACTAAATTTTAACAAGAGCAATAACCTCTACTACCATTCCAACCTGTAGAAGGTTTTTGAATAAGAAGTGGCCTGGTGTTTTAGGAAGATTTGTCTATTTGCTTAGACTAGTCTGGGAGGATAGAAGAGATTGATTGGAATTGGAAAATCTTGGGGGCTGGAGAGATGGCTCAGCAGTTAAGAGCACTGACTGTTCTTCCAGAGGTCCTGAGTTCAGTTCCCAACAACCACATGATGGCTCACAATCACCTTGAATGAGATCTGGTGCCCTCTGCTGTCATGTAGGCAGAAGACTATATATAAAATAAATAAAATCTTTAAAAAAAGAAGAAGAAGAAGAAGAAGAAGAAGAAGAAGAAGAAGAAGAAGAAGAAGAAGAAGAAGAAGAAGAAGAAGAAGAAATTGGAAAATCTCAAATCTCAGGTGGAAGTTTGAGTGGTCAGACAAGATGCAGATGAAATGACAAAAAATTTGTTTGTTTGCTTTGGTTTTTCGAGACAGGATTTCTCTGTGTATTCCTGGCTGTCCTGGAACTAGCTATTGCAGACCAGGCTAGTCTTCAACTTACAGAGCTCCGCCTGCCTCTGCCTCCCTAGTGCTGGGATTAAAGTTGTGCACCACCACTGCCTGGCAAATCAAATGACAAGAATTTAAAAGACAGATAACCCTGTGACATGGCACTAAGAGTCCTTGTTTTCTTTTCCCAATAGAAAGTCTTCCGGGCTGGGGAGATAGCACAGTAGGTAAACGCCACCCTCCAAAGCCTTAGGACCTAAGTTCAGATCCCCAGCACCCACATAAAAGCTGTGTTCAACATTATATGCCTGTAATTCCAGCACTGGGGAGGTCAAGAAAGGAGGATTCTGGGGGTTTGCTGGCCAAGTAGTCTGTCCTGATGAGTGAATCAGTTCAGTAAGAGGCCCAGTTTCCTCAGATAAAACACCCATGTAACAAGCCACATATCTCTGTAACCCCGTTCTGATGGTTGTGGAGGTGGGAGGATTGCTGGGGCTTGCTAGCTTCCAACTTAGCAGAGAAATCGCCAGCTCAGGGTTCAGAAAGAGACTCTACCTCAAAGGAGTAATAGATACAGGGGTATGCCTGATGCACACAGATGCACATAGAAATAGTATAGTAAGGTGGAGAGCATTTGAAAAAGACAGCCAAATCAACCCTCTGTCCTCTGCAGGTACATGACTATACACACATTCCAAAGCAGTCTCTTTAAAAGATCAGGATTGAAAGGTAGCAGTGTAAGAGTTTATGAGGCTATTGAGCTAATCAGTGAAAAACAAGTTTTCGCAACTTAAAATGGGAATGTTTATAAATGTATTCATGTTTATCAAAGATAAACAGGTATGGCAATACATGCAAATTTGTAAGATGAGTCTAAGCTTGTTTACAGTGATTGTCCATAGCAAAATTTATGTAATAAGAAAGGGGGCAATATGGGGGATGGGGTGGATGGATACCCATAGGCAAATTTATGTAATAAGAAGGAAAAGGGACAAGATGGACAGATGGATGAATGGAGGGAGAGATGGATGGAGAGAGAACTTAGCCAGGCAGTGGTGACACCGTTAATCTCAGGCCAGCCTGGTCTACAGAATGAGTTCCAGTAGAGCCAGGGCTGATTCACAGAGAAACCCTGTCTTGAAAAACACAAACAAACGAGGGGGGTGGGTAGAGAGACTACCCAGAGATGAGGAAATAATAAAAGTAAATTATAGATCATGTATATTCTGGCTAAAAGGAAAGAATGAGTTATAATGGGCTAGCCAAATGACTCACCAGTAAAAGAAGCTTGCCACAGAGCTGAGAGATCTGATTCCTTTGCTCTCTACACATGTGCTATGTGTATGCACACATAACAATATTAATGCACAATACTTTTTTTAGTGTGTTTTTAGAAGTTCTGTTTTTCTTATTTTTTGAATACCGTCTCATGTAACCTAGGCTAGTCTTCCAGTATAACCCAGGATGATCTAGAACCACTACATTATTTTTAGTCAGGGTATCACTGTGTAACTTTGGCTGGTTTGGACCTTCCTATATAGACCAAGCTGGTCCCGTTTGCCTCTGATATATGTCACTTTCCTTTTTAAAACTTTTATTTTTATTGTAGGCTGAAGAGATGGTTCAGTGGTTAAGAGCACTAGCTACTCTAAAATGTTTTACTAAAAATTAGTAGTAGTAGTAGTAGTAGTAGTAGTAGTAGTAGTAGTAGTAGTGTGTGTGTGTGTGTGTGTGTGTGTGTGTGTGTGTGTGTGTATGGGGGAAGTGATAATAATGCTTTGCAAATGTTTAGAGGTCAGAGGACAACATTGTGGGGTTGATTCTCTTCTCCCAACTTTATATGGGGTTCAGAGATTGAACTCAGTCACCAGCCTTGCTTTGCAAAGTGTTTTTATTCTCTGAGACACTTGGCCAAACCCTATTTCTACTTTTCAGTAGCATAAGCTAGATGTTATGCACACCTGTCATTTCAATAACCCCATTGCTCAGGCTGCTGGGGCAGTATGGAGATGATTTCTTGGCTATGATGAGACTGCCTTAATAACTAAAATAAATATTTTTCAGTGGCAATGGGAAGACACAGCAGCAGCTCCTTTTGTTTGGGGGGTGGGTGGGCAGGGGTTAGGGTTTCTCTAGCCCTGGTTGTCCTAGAACTTGCTCTGTAGACCAGGCTGGTCTTGAATTCAGAGATTTGCCCGCCAAACACTGGGATTAAGGGCATGCACCACCACTGCCCAGCTCCCTTGCTCTTTTTTTATTGTTGTTATTGTTGCTCTTGCTTATGAGGTTTGGCTGGAGTCCAAACCTACACAGGCCTTACAAGTGCTAAGCTCATTCTGTTGTTGTACTACACCCTAGTGATGCTTTTCTTCTATCATAAGGGTTAATTAGGGTCATTCTTCTTGTTTAAGGTAAATAACTGAGCTGATACTTTGCCTCACCTAGAATGATTAATGGAAGATTTCTAGGTATTAGACATTTCCTCAAGATTGTAGGCCTTTGTTGTTATTGATGGTATTTTTCTTTTGTTTTGAGATGGTGTATGCCTGTGTAGCTCTGGCTGGCTGGGAACTCTAACTCTCTAGTCATCTTATAAAAGGGGTTGGGGGCAGGGTTCTCAGTTGGTACTAGTCTTCACTTTCCTTCCATGGATTTTTTTTCCTTTTTGTGAGATGATGTCTCACCTTGTAGCCCATGTTGGCCTTGCTTTCTTTGTGTTTAGGTTTTTGAGATAAGATATTTCGAATTTTTAGTTCTTCTATCACAAGCTTCCTGAGAACTGGGTTTCAGGTATGAGCTACCAGGCCTGACCAGATGGTTTTAGCAGATTTTCTTATCATCTTATAACTTTGTGTAATAGTCATTTCACAGTTGTTTCCATAAATTATTTTGTTGCACTTTAGAAAATTTCACTTTAGGGGAATTGGGTGATTAGATTGAAAAGGAGACTGTAGCATGGTGTTTCTTCCCAAGCTCACTCTTTAAAAAGCCCCATGATTGAACTAGCAACCTCACAAGGAAAACATCCAGGCAGAATGACTTTGGATAATAGCACTTGCCACCAAGTCTGACAACCTTAGTTAGATCCCTTGGCCCTACATGGTAGAAGGAGAGAACCAATACCCTTAATTTGTCCTATGGCCTCACATGTGCTATAGCATGCATGTGCCCCTCTCCTCCTACACAAATAAGTAAGGATGTAAAGAACGGAAATCGTTAGGGAACAGGCGTTTTCATCTATGGTTAGAAACCAAGTGCTGAAGCAACATTAGTGGCAAATGCCTTTAGTCCCAGCACTTGGAGATAGAGGCGGATGGATCACTAAGTTCAAGGCCAGTCTGGTCCACATAGTGAGTTCTGGAATAGCCAGAGCTACAATAAGAGACCCTGTCTTGAAAAATCAAAACAGGGATGGAGGGAGGAAGGAAGTGCTGTCTCACTAACTGCTTGATTTTTCTGTGGTAGCATCTCTACTACATTTGAAACTTCCTGGCTTTGATTTTCCCAAATTGACTCTCAAAATCTCCTGGTTCTTGTGCAGGCTTATTGACTGGTGTAGTAGTAGACTCTGGAGATGGTGTGACTCATATTTGCCCAGTGTATGAAGGTTTTTCTCTCCCTCACCTTACAAGAAGGCTGGATATTGCTGGGAGGGATATTACCAGGTATCTTATCAAGGTAAGTAAAAGGAAAATAATATCATAAATGATTGCTTTATTAGTTTGTTTACTGACTTACACAAAAATCAGTGTCTGAAACAATTTAGGGGCTGAAGAGCACCTAACTGCTCTTGAAGAGAGACAGCTCTCATCTTGGCCAGCTCTCCTGCTTGTAACTCCAGCTCTGCGGAGTCTAATGCCTTCCTCTGGACCCTTCAGTCACCAGTATTCATAAGCACATACCCACGTGCAGACACAGTACACATAATTTAAAATAGTAAAATAGTTTAAAAGAATTCTGTATGCAAAGTATCTAGCTAGCTAGCATCGCCCAGTATACTGTTATTGCTCTTGATGTGGATTCTCGTATTGAGCTCAGGCATGGACAGCAAGTGCCTTTTACCTGCCCGGCCATCTTAGTAGCCAGCAAGGGTTTAACTTTTGTATAGTGGAACTTAGTCATATGGATTATTAATTTGTTGCTTTTTTTTTTTTTCCTTTTTTTTTTTAATGCCAGCTGCTGCTGTTGCGGGGATATGCCTTCATCTATTCTTCTGATTTTGAGACAGTTCGTATGATTAAAGAAAAACTTTGTTATGTTGGTTACAATATTGAGCAAGAACAGAAGCTGGCCTTAGAGACCACAGTGTTAGTTGAATCATATACAGTAAGTATCCTGTGTAAAATACACCTGTGGATTGAGAAAGGCATCTCTGTTTATTGGCATCACTTAATATGGAGTTTTGATTGTTTGGTTTTTGTTGTTTTATTTTTGTTTGCTGGACACCAAACCAAGGACCTTGTGTGTGCCCAGCAGATTAGGCCCTGGCATCAGTATTTGGTTTGGATTATTGTAATATGTTTTCATATGATGTTTATCTCTTGCCTCATTAAGATTCTGTCATATAGTTATTGAAGATACCTTGTATTGCAAATTAAAGCAAGAACTAAATTAGAATGTAATTAGAAATGGAGGTATGAGTTGATATTTTAGCATCTTCAGAATATCATTTCAACATGTGTTGTACACAATGTTACTTCTCTGGGATGTTACTTAAGAGTTACATAAAATAGAACAGCACTCAGGAGGCAGAGGCAGGCGGATCTCTGAATTTGAGGCCAGCCTGTTCTCCAGAGCGAGTGCCAGGATAGGCTCCAAAGCTACACAGAGAAACCCTGTCTCAAAAAAAAAAAAAAAAAAGTTACATAAAATAGAACACATTATAATTGTCAAATAATTTATGGAGATAATTATTGTCTCATTGCTGTGTGACTCCCAGGCCCTTCACTATGCCAGTATGTATGCGGTTGTGAAAATTTAGTGTGCCTTTTTCTTAGATTCTTGATATTTTTTTTCTAAGACAGGATCTTACTATGTAGTATGGGTCTTCCTGCCTGTGCTTCCCAAATGGTGGGACTGCAATCATGCATTCCCATATGAACCTGGAAATTTTGTAGTGTATCATGGAGCTAATAGAAATGTATCTTGGGAAATGCTCATGCTTTGATCTTTCTCAGACAAGTTTTCACTGTAGCCCAAGCTGGGTTGGAACCCAGGCTGGTTTCATACTTACTTTGAAATCTGTTAGGTTGCACATATTTTGTGAATAGTGCCAACATGGATCACAGGACTTAACACTTGCTTTGCTGGGCATAGTGGCACAAGTACTTGGAATACTGAGGCAAGAGTACCATGTAAGTAATGAGACCAACCTGGTAAGGCCTCCAGAAAAAGTTGAACTATCTGGGTGTAGTGAGGCATGCCTTTAATACCAGCACTGCAGAGGCAGCTGATCTCCATGATACAGCCAAGGATACATAGTGAGACCTGTCTCAGAAGACAAAAAAAAGGGGGGAGGAGGGTATTGTTAAGAGACCAGCTCTGGTAGCACATGCCTTTATTTCCAGTTCTGGGGGTGGGGTTTGAGGCAGAGGCAGTAGTATCTCTTGAGTTTGAGGCCAGCCTACTCTACATAGCGAGATGCAGGCCACGTAGAGAGACCCCCATCTCAACCTCCCACCCTCCAAAAAAAGGTACCAAGCTAAGCATACAATAAAACCTACTTCATAACTTAAAATAATTTCCAGGTTTGCCCTGGTGCCTTCTTTCCTAAGGCTTTTCTGATAGATTTTCTAGATAGAGATCCTCATTTTCAGTTTTAGTTGTTTAGAATGAACTGACATAAGGTAAACAACGAGAGAACTAACAATATAAGACATAACAATAGAGTCATCATCGAATTAGTTCCAGGTCAGCCTAGACTAAAAGCAAGACCAACTTAACCACACCTCCACCTCCTGCAACACCCCCCCCCAAAAAAAAACCAGACATGATGTCGCCCACCTGTAACCTCAGTAATTGTAAGATGGGGCAGAAACATCATTGAGTTTGAGGTCCACCTCAAACTCTTAACTCCCAATAAAAGCCAGACCGGGTGGTGCCTGCCTGTAATCTCAGCACTTGGGAGGTAGAGACAGAAAGATAGGGGTACATGGGTCATCTAGGCTACATGAGATCCTAACTCCAGGAAAACTGAAAACAAAATATATCTTCCCTCTTTCCTTAAACAGTTTGAAAGACAGCTTTCAAAAATACAGTCAAGTGTAACACAAACTAAATAAGTGGAGAGGAACAAGTGTGAGCAAATGTAGGCTAGAATAAGATGTAAGAAATTCAATGCAGCTGACTATGTCAGGGAATGAATGCTTGTAGTCCTAGCTACTATGGGGACCAAGGCAGAAAGATTGCTAGAGTCCAGTAGTTCAGGACCAACCCAGGTAGCATGGTGAGATCCTGTTTTGGAAAGGAGAAGGGAACAGAGGAGACTCAGGACAATAATATGTAAAGGTAGTTCTAGAGTTTTTTTTGAAAATACAATTCCTTCTTACATAGTGATAATTTCAGCAAACATGGACTCCATATTATAAGGAATATGATTTGTAAATTTTATTGTTTAAACTTTAAGCATTGTTAATGTGAAACTGAATGCCAACATTCATGAGACGCTTGTTACTTAAGTCAGTCTCATTAATTATGATTGATGTGAGAGAATTTCTAATTAAATAAAAACATTAACTAGCCAGGTATGCTGGCATACTCCTGTAATCCCAGCACTTGGAAGCCAGATGCAGGAGAATCTAAGTCTGAGGCAAAGAAACACCCCATATAAACTAGATGTAAGCAGGTAAGGGGTTTCTGTGTAGGTCATGTTAAAATTTGGACTGCCCAGATCTTACTGGCTTAAATTATACTTATAAAAATTGTTTCTTGTTGAGTTGCTCTTTCCCCCTTCTCCTACTGTGCTGCATACTCCATGTTGCTAGCTTTGAGCTTCTGGACAATTCTTTCTGTTCCCATCTTGATGCAGGGGTCCTGGGATTACAGATAAACTCACCACTTCTGGCTTTTTATGTGGGTTGTCAGGCTTTCATGGCTGCCACTTTAATTCTCAGCCATCTCCCTGCCCCCGTGCCCAGCTTCTTTTTTTTGTTTGTTTTTTTGTTTTGAAACTTTTTCCCCTTTTTGTTTTAAGATTTAGTTTTATGTATAGTGCTATTTTCCTACATGTATGTCTGTGTGAGGGTACCATATCCCCTGGAACTAGAGTTACAGTTACAAGCTGCCATGTGGATGATGGGAATTGAACCTGGGTCCTCTTCCACCAAGCCATTGCCCACACTCAGCTTCTTAAACCTTTTGTTTGTTTCTAAATGAAATTATTTGGTGGTAAAATAATACTTGCACAGCATACTATTGAAAGGAAAATTATTAAAAATGCTTTATTTCAATTTTTTATTTTAAAAATCTCCATAAAATCACAGTTTTGTTGACAAAGACAGAGCATTAACTTTTCCAGGAATAATCAGAATGTGCTGGCTAGTCAGCACAACATTTGGGTGTCACATATAAACATTGGTTGCTTCTCAGAGAATTTCCTGGTTGGCAGCATTTTGTGCTGTTAAACAACAACAATGGGATAGAGTATGGTGTTAAGCACATCATCTGAGATATTTTGTTTTACCCAAGAAAACATTTGAGGAAAATTCATTGCTTTTAATAATTTTGGTTACAGAACAGATGTATTTTAAAAATCACTGTTATGGAGAATGCTGGAAAGTTGTGTTTTTTTGCTGACTAGCACTGGGTTATTTTCTGTTTCTAGCTCCCAGATGGACGTATTATTAAAGTTGGAGGAGAAAGATTTGAAGCACCGGAAGCTTTATTTCAGCCTCACTTGATCAATGTTGAGGGAGTTGGTGTTGCTGAATTGCTTTTTAACACAATCCAGGCAGCTGACATTGATACCAGGTACAGTAGACAGCATTTCCAAGTCACATGGGCCACAGAGATGGCTCAGCAGTCAAGAGCACTTGCTGTTCATCCAGAGGACGACCTGAGTTCAGTTCCTAGCACTCATGTCAGAATGCTCGAAACTGTGACTCACATCTCTGGCGTCTGGGTACCTGTGTTCCTGTGCATGTATTGACATGCATACACACACATGTCAACATGGTTTAAAATAAGAATACAATCTTTTTAAAGAAAGAAATGTACATTGAATGAACAGGTTGTCTTACCTCATTGTGTTTTAGGAGGGGTGTTGTTTTGTTTTTAATCTTTAAAAATTGTATTATGTTATTTATTTGTGTCTGCACATATGTGTGTAGGCCCACACATGCCATGGTCCTTGGGTGGAGGTTGGTTCCCTTCTACCATGTGGGTTCCAGGAACCAAACTTACCGGACATGGCAATAGGCACTGTTAAGAGCTGAACCATTTCTCCACCCCTCACTGTGTTTTTGATAGAGTGGTATTAACTACATTATTGCTTCTCAGAAGCCTCTTTAAACATTTTTGAAAGATTTATTTCTATTTTATATGTATTGAGTGTTTGTCTACATGTATGTTTGTGTACCATGTGCATACCTCGTGTCCATGGAGGTGAGAAGAGGGCATCAGATTTCTTGGAACTAGAGCTACAGATGGTTGTAAGCAACCATGTGGGTCCTGGGAACCAAAATCGGGTCCTCTACAAGAACAAGCGCTTTTAACTGTTGAGCCACTTCTCCAGACCCCACTTAAAAGTTATTATTTTGAAACAACTTAAAATCAACAGAAAAGTAGCAAGCCTAATATAGAATATATGTGTGCTCTTTCTCTGATTTTACTTTTGATAATATTATGCTTATTTGCTACTGCCTTTTTTTTTTGAAACATTTGAGAATAAATTGAATATATAAATTCTCTTTTGCAGTCCTAAGAAAAGATACACTTATATTGTTGAGTATGTCATTCAAGAAATATATTTTATTTATGTATGTAGCACCATATTTCCGTTTTATACAGTGTCCCTGTAGTGTCCTTTGTACGGTTGTCTTCTGTCTGGGAAGGATCAAGGGTAGAATCCCATATTTAGTCATGTCTCTTCATTGGTTTTTATTTTTTCTGGTACAGTTCATTGTATTGACATCTTTGCAAAGTTCAGACTAGTTATCTTAGATTTCTTTAAATTTGCACTCATATTTTCTCATAATTCAGATATGCATTTTTGACTAGAATACTATGTATATGGTATGTCCTAAGGATATATCCAGAAGTGATGTTTCTTATTGGTGATGTAGATGCTCTTATTGAAGCATTACTTGAAGTTTACTGTTCCCTCCAGTGAATGGTCTGTTTTTCCTTTCCCAGTAAAGAACTTGTGAAAAAGCACATTGAAACTATATAAACATCCTGTTCTCAGCTTGCTCTGCTCTGTCCATTGATGACCTGTCCTGTTCCTCTAGAATCCACACTGGTGATCTGTCCCTCTCCTTAACACACTCTGCCCCTCTAACATCTGTTGATTAACCTTGCCTAAGTTCATTTTTATTACCAGTTATTATTTTTCCCCTTAACATATATCTACTTTTTGGATTTAATTACAGTACTTGGCTAGCATACATGAAACCCTGGGTTTGATCCACAACATGGTACAGCACATGTTTTAATTTTATTACATTTTTTTTTTTAAGATTTTATTTATTTAGTATACAGTCTTCTGCCCGCATGCCAGCAGAGGGTACCAGATCTCATTCAAGGTGGTTGTGAGCCACCATGTGGTTGCTGGGAATTGAACTCAGGACCTCTGGAAGAACAGTCAGTGCTCTTAACCGCTGAGCCATCTCTCCAGCCCCATTTTTTATTACATTTTTAATAAATGTGATTTGTTACCTGTCAGTGTACAAGGCTTCCCTCTTCTGTACATCTTCTCTTCTTCCCCAGTTTCTGTGAATCACTGTTTTAACAGGTGTGCAGTGATAGCTCATTGCCATTTAATTTACATTTCTGTGATGATGGGTGATGTTGAGCTTTTTCCTCCTTCTATATGTCAACTGGGCATTTATGCATCTTAGTTTTGTTGTTGTGTTACCTGTGATAGTCTTATTAGCAGATACTTGAGCTTCTGATCTTCCTTCCTCCTCCTCATTGTGCACCGGCTTATGTGGTGCTGGGGGTGGAACCCAGGGTTTCATGCTGCTAGGCAAGTGCTGTGCTGAACTACATCCCTACCCAACATTTTAAAATAAATAAATAATGTGCCATTTTCCTAATCTGAAACTGCAAATATTCACTGTGTCTTCCCAGATCTGAATTTTACAAACACATTGTGCTTTCTGGAGGCTCAACTATGTATCCTGGCCTGCCATCAAGGTTGGAACGAGAGCTTAAACAGCTTTACTTAGAACGAGTTCTAAAGGGAGATGTGGAAAAACTTTCTGTAAGTATCTCTAGTAACTGTTGGCATTGTTTTAAAACCCTGTAACTTGTGGACCTTGGCAACCACTAGATGGAGCAAGAAGTCTTTTTTGTTTTGTTTTGTTTTGTTTTGTTTTTTGGTTTTTTTGAGACAGGGATTCTCTGTGGCTTTGGAGGCTGTCCTGGAACTAGCTCTTGTAGACCAGTCTGGTCTCAAACTCACAAGAGATCCACCTGCCTCTGCCTCCCAAGTGCTGGGATTAAAGGCGTGCCCCACCAACACCCGGCCAAAAGAAGTCTTACAGACAGATTCCTGTGCAGTTAGCCTCTGGAAGACTTGAAGGGCTCAAGAGAAGTTGTCTATTTGTGGTGTATCTTGTCTATTTGTGTTCCCAGAATTATCACAGCTTCTGAAATGAGCTTTATTAGTAATTTTGCCATGCACTAGAATATAATTGCTGGTGGTTCTTTGGCGTGCCCTCTTTCCTAGCTTTGATCTGTGAAGTATACTGTCGGCAGTATTGTTGCAACCCAGGTTCCTTAACCATGGCTTATTCTCTGGGTTTGTCTTACTATCCTTAGCTATCTGTTTTAGATAAGATTACCCATTTCAGAGGACTATGTATAGACACCGATGGCATAGTGCTTTCTAAGTATTTCACTCACTTTTTCATTTCATCAAATTATATAGAGAATTTAAAATCCATCTCTGGCAACCATTTATTTACTCTGCAAACTTTTGAGGAGAAGAAATTAGGGAGTACTACATTCTGGTATAACCCTACTGAAATTGATTCTACATACTCTAAACCCCTCTCCTCCCCACACATCCTTTCAGTACTGAAGAGCTAGGGTTTGGACCCAGGACCACACCCACCAGCAGGCAGTCTAGTACTAAGCCACTTAACTCCAGCACTGAGCCAGAGCTGATCTAGGCCAAGGGAACAAAACTGTGTAAACAATAAAAATGGCTGCTGTCAGTTTAAGAAACTTACTAGTAGTAATAATCAATGGTTATGTTGGGCGGGCATATAAAATGATTGTTGTCTGTAAGGGGGTGTGCACCCTCATACCTGATCAGAAAAGGCTTCTGATGAAGTGCCTTTGGGTCCAAGACCTGTGTAGAGTTAGGGAGTGAGCATATCTAGTCAGGAATAGTGCAAAGGGTCTGAACTGGCTGAAATGTCCCAGTGTGAATGGAACGGAGTAAGCAAGAGAGGGGTGGAAGATGAGGTCAGAAAGCTGAGGGTTGAATTGAAAATGATAGAATCTGACTTATCCCTTAAAAGAATCTGGAAGCCAAGTGTGGTAGAGAAGGACCTAAGAGAGTTAAGACAGGAAGTTGTGAGAGGGAAAAGAGCTGGTAGAGGTTAAAAATAGTGGTTAAAGTTGTTGTCTTAAGAATGAATAGAAATGTCCTAAGACAGCCAAATAGCGTGAAGGGCGTAGTTGAGGTTAGAGACAAATAGAAAGCAAGTTGTTGAGATTTTGTACTGTGTGTTGAGCTGTTTGAAAACAGGTTCAGAGTTGATTACCCAAGTTGATATGTTGTCAGGTGAATAAATATGAATATAAGGAGCAGAGAATAGAGCCATCCATGATAATGTAAAGAAACAGGAGGGGAGAGGGTTGGAGAGATGGGTCAGTGGTTAAGAGCACTTGCTGCTCTTGAAGAAAAGCCAGGTTCAGCTCACAACCATCTGTGCTCAAGTTCCAGGGCAACCAGTGCCCCCTTCTGACTACCATGAGCACCAGGCATGTACACATAAATGCATGCAGCCAAAATTCATACATGTATTTTTTTTTTTTTTAATTTTAAAAGAAATGGAGGCACTGGGCAGTAGTGGTGCCTACCTTTAATCCCAGCACTTGGGAGGCAAAGGCCGGGGATCTCCAGATTTGGGGCAAGGCTTGTCTGCATAGTAAGTTCCAGGACAGCCAGGATTATACAGAGAAACCCTGTCTCAACCTCCCCTCCCTACCCACCAACCCCCTAAAAAGGAAGGAATGGAGGCTAGGGCTGGTGAGATGCTTCAGTGCTTGAAGTCACAAGCCTGATGACCTGAATTAGATTCCTAGAACTGACACATGGTAATAGAAGAGAATTGACTCCCAGAAGTTGTATATGCACATGCACACATTCGTACAATACACAGTAACAGAAAGGAGAAGGAAAGGTAGAGAAGAATGTGTGGCTATGTCAGTGACGAGCAGGAGTGGAAGAAACATCTGTAGATGTCTGGGGATCTGGAGATGACTGAAGGAGAGTGGTGGATCGTGAGGATGAGGTCCAGAGCAGATAAGGAGTTTGGGAGAAGAAGAGGGTAATGGAAGTTGCAGTTATGAAGGAAAGCTGCTGTAGAACCTCCTGAGGGAAAGGGGAAGTGAGAGGGCAGCAGTCTGCGGAGAGCACGGCTAGAGAAGCAGTGTCTTCCCTGAGAGCCTTGTTGAGCTCCCCAAAGCTCTTAGACATTTCCTTGAGGGGGTTGCAAAGACGACTCATCCATTAAAAGCAGGTACTATTGCAGAGGACCTAAGCTTGGTACTGGGTACCCTATCAGGCTTTTAACAACTGCCTACAACTACAACTCCAGGGGATCAGACACCCTCTTCTGACCCTGTGGGTACAGTTACATGCATACACATAATAAAAATTAATTTAAAATTTTTTTCATCAATGCACAGCCAGGCTCATTTGTTCATATAGCTTATTTATTGTCAAACCTTGTTAACTATTTTACAGTTTCGCAGAGGTCTTTGTAGTCAGAGACATGAAAAGCCCCAAGTCTTTACTATATGACCCTTACGAAAAAATTTGCAAGTTGAACAGTGGTAAATATAGCACATATAAGTATGAGGTAGGAGGATATTGAGTGCAAGGCTGCCCTGGACTGTATAGCTAGACTCTGTCTGGGGTGGAGAGTGGTTAAAAAGAAAAAAGAAGGTAGCTAGGCAGTGATATACCCCGTTAATCCCAGCACTTGGGAGTCAGAGGCAGGCGGAACTCTGTTAAGTTCCAGGCCAGCCTGGTCTACAATGCAAGTTCCAGGACAACCAGAGCTGTCTTTGGGGGTGGAGGGAGAGAGGTAACTAAAACAATAGTATTTGTTCTCAGCTTACCTAAAACACTGTGGTTTTCCACATCATAAATACTTAGATTCTGGAGACTGGAGAGATGACTCAGAGGTTAAGAGCACTGACTGCTCTTCCAGAGGTCCTGAGTTCAATTCCCAGCAACCAAATGGTGACTCAACAACCATCTATAATGAGATCTGGTGCCCTCTTCTGGCATGCAGGCATACATGCAGACAGAACACTGAATACATAATAAATAAATCTTTAAAAAAAAAAAAAAACACAAAAAAACCCTTCAATTCCTATATTTTATATATGTGTGAGAATTTAGAGTACATGGTTCCATTGCCTCTTTGTTGAATTTGTTATTCTAAAGACTGATAGTCTTTTAGGATAAATATAGGAAGAAACAGATCTGTATGTCTGGAGGTCTGTTATTATTTATTATGTATATGAGTGATTGTCTACATGTATGTCTGTAAAGGCCAGAAGAGAGTCTCAGATGCCTGGAACTGGAGTTACAGCCGGTTGTCAGCCACCATGTGGGTGCTGGGAACTGAACCTATTTCCCTGGAAGCAAAGTCAGTGCTCTTAACTGCTAAGCCATCTTTCCAGCCTCGGGTTCAAATATAGTTCCGATTATTTTTTCAACGTATAAATTATTTCTATACAATAGTAGTCTTCTCTATACAGATTAGACTCTAGAAGTTGAGCCAACTGGGAAATGGGGAGTTTTCAGGCTCAGTTGGGTCAATAGTTTTTCTTTCTGAATTCTAGATTAGAAGACTTATTTTTTGTTTTTTCAGTTAGAGGATTTTTTTTTTCCACAGTATCATAAGCAAATCACAGCAATGTATTTAGTATAAGCAAATCTCCATCAGCACTGTATCTTTTCATAGTGTGTGATTAGGTGTTTTTGGTTTTGGGTTTGAGAGGCATCTCCCTGGGTGGTACCAAGTAATGAAAACTTAATCTTTGTATTTTAGCTGGCTAATGTAAATACATACAGTTACAGCACAAAAATAAAACAATGTGTTGGCATTTATCTTTTTTCTCCCAAGCTACCCCTCTTGTCCATCAATCCTACCTAGAACTGCTTTATTTCCCGTATTGAAAGTGTGTTACGTGCCCATGGAATCCCTGAGGTCATCCAATGTCCCCACTACATACTGGGGGTTTCTCAATGCCACCACTCCCCAGAGATATCTCATGATCTCCAAAAATCTCTAATCACCAAGGCTTAGTTGGTTCCCTCATCAAGTTTTCCTACATTGGCTCTTACATGAGGTTTCCTGATTGCTGACCTTTGAAGTTCCCTTTTAGAGAGCTCTCTGTTTTCCTGCTTCAGTTTTGCTTGCCTTTCTGAAGTATGAGAAAAGGCAAAACTTCCTTGACTGATCTGCCCAAACAATGGGCAGGATACATCTCTTTTGTTTTTTTATTGTTGTTTTGTTTTTTATGCTGTTGTTTGTTTTGGGGGGGTTATTTGTTTGTTTGGTTTGTTTTTTTCAAGACAGGGTTTCTCTGTGGCTTTGGAGGCTGATCTGGAACTAGCTAGCTCTTGTAGACCAGGCTGGTCTCAAGCTCACATTTTTTTGGTTTTTGGTTTTTGTGGTTTTGTTTTGTTTTTGAGATTTAAGAGCCTTCCCAAACACAGAAATCCCAGACAAGCCCCCAAATAGTTTGAAATAAGATAACACATTCTGTTCTCATCTCCCATAGGCTGGGACCTGGCTGACTTCCCAGATTCTCCATCTCATTGGTTTAAGACACACAGCCTTATCTAATGAATGATTTGGTGCTTGAGACTTAACCAGTTTTTGTGATAATGGGCTCAGTCGCATAGAACTTCTGAGACAAGCAGGTACCTACTGTGCCAGCTAAGGAGAAGGACCTAGCCCTTTGCTTATCTGTTAACTCCTGAATTTTAAGTGTACCTCTTATTGAAAGTGCATCATAGCCTCAAATACAGAGATCTGCCTGCCTCTGTCTCCCAAGTGCTGGGATTGAAAACCTGAGCTACCACCATCCAGCCATCATCCTGTTTTTTCTTACAGAATACAGGACCATTAGCCCAAGGGTGCCCCACACATAATGGACTGCCTCCCCAGCCCCATATCAATCAATCATTAATTAAGAAATTGCCCTACAGGTTTGCCTACAGCCATGTATTATAGAGGAGAGGCATTTTCTCACTTGAGGCTCCCTTCTCTCTCATAGCTTCAGCTTGAGTCTGACTGACATAACCACTCCCCACCCCCCAACCCTGAGACTCTCCAATACCAGACAGATCAGTACAGTTTTACAGTGTTAAACTGAACTAGAGTTATGGTGGTATTTGACCTGGAAGAACACTGCTTAGAAACTAAACACTGCTCAGGAAAACCTGTTATAATCTTGCTTCTTGGTTCTTGGGCACAGAGATTGGTTGTCCGGTTTATTTAATCTGGATAATGGGTGTGAGTTAAGATTATTGTTTCCTAATTACAAGCTTGGGAGGAATAACCAAATGTTTGTGTGTTGGAGGTGCCAAAGCTGGCTGCTGTCCTGTGTAGATTGCCAAGAGATTCAAGACACATGCAGAAGTCTTCCTGAAAAGGAGCATTGTGCACACAAGATCTCATTACTCTTTCTCCTTTAGAAATTTAAGATCCGAATTGAAGATCCACCCCGAAGAAAGCACATGGTGTTCCTGGGTGGTGCAGTCCTGGCAGACATCATGAAAGACAAAGACAACTTTTGGATGACTCGACAAGAGTACCAAGAAAAGGGTGTACGTGTGCTGGAGAAACTCGGTGTGACTGTTCGATAAAATGCCAGGCTTGTTCCTATCATGCCTCTGATGCAGTCTTCTTTTTCCTCTTTTTTTTTTTTTTAAAAAAAAACAAAAACAAAAAACAACTTTTCTTTATTGCCAATCTTTGAACTCATTCAACTCCAGGACTGAAAGAGGCCTGTCTGTCCCCTTTGACTGGAAAGGTCCAGTTTTATTCTCTGTCTTGGGGAAGCATTGTTTAATTCTTGTTAATGTGGGTAAATCCGGTTGTTTAATGCAACCACTTCTCTACAAACATAACCTGAGGGCAAAGGGTCTCTGCTGCTTTCGTTCTTTCTAAGTAGGCATTTAGATTATTCCTGTAGGCTTTCTATTTTTTGCTTTATTGCTCTAATGCTGCTAGTTTTAGTACTGTAGGTGGTATGTCTTTATTAGCATAAGAAAAAACTTTCACATGAGCTTTTACATACTCTGGGTGGGGGTGGTAAGGGATGGGTGGGCAGCCCTGGCCCTTTAGGACATTTCCTCTATAGTGTTAGCTTTCAGCAGTCAACTGCTGCCGCTTTTTAAGGACCCTGAAGCTTGTCCTGTTAAAATCTTTGGGAAATATTAAGCTCAGAATTAAGGTTTTTGGGGTAGGTTTTGTGTGGTGAAACAAATGGGTGGTCTTTCTTTTATGGTTTTAGCGGGTTTTCTGCTTCTGGGTTTGTGAGATGAACCTCAGTTACAGTATCTGACTTGGTAGGTTTCTTTTGGTCTGCCTGGAACTGTTTCCATATGATAGAAAAAAATGCAAGCTTATTGTTTAACTACCATGAGGTTTAGGGATTAATTCCTTAAGTCAAACTATCAGCTGGGAGTATACTTCCTAAACTATCAGTGAGAAATTAACATTTTAAAAATTTTTTTTTTTTTTTTTTTTGGTTTTTTCGAGACAGGGTTTCTCTGTGGCTTTGGAGGCTGTCCTGGAACTAGCTCTTGTAGACCAGGCTGGTCTCGAACTCACAGAGATCCATCTGCCTCTGCCTCCCAAGTGCTAGGATTAAAGGCATGCACCATTTTGTTAAGCCAAATTACAGATAGAAAATTACTTAAAGGCTGGTGTTTTCTAAACAGTTGTGTATTCTGGAAGCATTGAAGTAATGATACTACATACCATTCTTGAAAGTTGTACTTTTTATGTACCTGATCAGCGCTTTTTGACTGAAACAACTATACACAGAAATAGTTACTGGCAGTGGGTTATAATTGTTGTATTAATATTAACATTGGGACTTGTTGCCAGTTTTTTTCTTTCTTTCTTTCTTTTTCCTTTTTTTAAAATAAGACCTGGAACTAAAATTTTATCAACAACAATAGAAAATTTGCCAGGAGTCAACTCTACGTTTGTACTGAAAACTAATCATGATTGCTACTTCCCAGCTATCTTTTGTTCTTGAAAGAAAAGTGGTTGGGATTTTGGATGTGTCTGCAGACCTGTTAGGAAATCCTATTTATGAGTCCAGTTGGTATTGTTTGTTATCTCAAAAAATATCAGATAGTACCTAGATGTATGAAGTCTTTCTAACATTGAAAAATGAAATAATGAGACATTGTATCACAGTAAATACAAAATGATGATTCTGGGAGAAATATTTTCCTTCACTTCAAAATATTCTTTATTAATGATGAATTTAAAAGGATGGCTTCTTTTCTCTTTCTTTTTGGATGCTTAACATCAGGATTTTTTTTTGAGATAACTTTAAAGTTAGTTTATATAAAATCAGCAGCAAAAGGAAGTTAGTCTTAATTATGCAGCTTCTGTGATATTAAGTATTTTTTGCCTGTTTTACCTCAATTTGAACAAATAGGAGAAGTCTGTGTGCATGCTGGACATGCTCAGTACACACAACAGCCTGCCAGTGCCGACTGGTCGGTGTTGGGTGCTCGACTCAGAGTCACTTTGGAATTCCTAAGTGTTCCTAAATCATGTTGTCAAATACCCCAGTCTTGGGAGTCCTGGGCCCATTGCAGGACACCTACTGTATATAGGACTGGTACCAATGACTATTGAGGGCAGAAAAATTTGGACTCTTGGCTTTGAGTATGATTTTAAATATAGGGGTAGAAAACAAGAAAGAATAGGGTAGAATCCTAAATAAAACAGTGAAAGAGCATTATCATTTGTACCTTGAATGTAGAATTTGTTTTTATTTCATAATTCTGCTAGCAAACATGACTGTTAAAAGTGATGTATTTATATATATAATAATTTAGAAATTCCATTTTATAGTTTTCCTATCCTAAGGTGAAATAATGATTTAATAATTTGGGAGTTGGGACATACTGTATGTATTCTATTGGAGATGTCAGGTTTGAGTCCTTAAAAATTTAAAAAAAAAATTTTTTTTTTAAAGATCTGATTCTTAGCTCTTGAAACCCATTGTTGCTTAGATTTCCAATGCTAATTATAATTCTTTTTTTTATCTTTAAAATTAAAATCACCAATGCCTTGAGGGATTTCTTAGAAAATGTGGTATTGGATGTTAACTTTTCACAGTTCTGAGCACTGTTAGTATCTATCTGGCAAGTATTTGAGAAATCATTGGAAAGCTAAACATTCTAAATTTAACACAAATATACTTCTTTTTGATTAAGAAAATAAAATCAGATTTTTCAAAGTAATTTGAATTTTGTCTTTGTTTTTCTGTTAGTAGTTTTTCTCTTTAGTTTTTTTTTTTCATTTGTACTTTTAGTTTTGCTATGTAAGATGGGTTTAGAACTTTAAACTGGTTAGTCCAAGGTCAAAGGTTAAGGCAGGGTGTTAACAGCCCAGGCTGATCTGGAACTAGCATTTAGCCAACCAAGGAGGACTTGAACTCTTGAACTCCTGCCTCTTCCAGGTGCTGGGATTATAGGTGTGCACCACAGTGCTGATTATTGACAAAACTCATTCTTTCTGGTGAGGTTTTTATTTACTTATTATTATTCATCTATTTTCATTTTTATTGTGAGGCTGGTCTCTCTATGTAGTCCTGGCTGCCCTAGAACTGGTCATGTAGATTAGGCTGGCCTCAAATTCAGAGACCTGCCTGCCTCTGCCTCTGGAGTACTGGGAATTAAAGTTATGTACCACAACTCCCAGCCCTTTTAGTAGGGTCTTTAGATACAAGAGAATGGATTAGAGCTACATTAGAATTTTTCTGTTTTGCTTTTTTCTAAGAGACCGTTCATTTCCCAGGCGATTGCAGGTGCTTTTGCAGAATCAATTCTAGATAGACTTATATGTAACATGACTTTGTATGGACATTGTGGTTGATCTGTGTGAAGATTTTTAGGCATGTTTTTGTTTTTAATTTTTTTCCTTTATTTTCATTTTATATGCATGGGTATTTTGCCTGTGTGTATGCATGTGCACCATGTGTGTGTAGTGCCCTTGGAGTCCAGAAGAGGGTATTAGATCTACCTGGAACTATAGCCAGTGTGTAGGTGTTGGGAATCCAATTCTGATCCTCTGAAAGAACAGTCAGTGCTCTTAGCCATTGAATTGTGTCTCTTGCACAGGTACATTGTTTTTGACAAAGTAATCAAAACAGGAGGAAAACTAATAATTAAGTGGCCTGTTATTGAGTTTACATTGGCCTTGAACATGAGGGCTAGGGGATTGGTTTCAGTCTTTTTATCTCTTATAAACTGCATGCTCATGATTCATTGTCCAAAGTCCATTAGGACATCCTGAGGATTATGTCTGGGGCATTAGCCCATCTCTTGGATTGCCAGAATAATATGGTATCTATTGTCTCTAGGTGACAGAGAAAGAATGTTCCTACCATTTTGTAGTGTTACTGTTGATGGAGTAAATGCCTTTGTACTCATTTTTTTCCTCCACCCATAAACGTTGCTATACAATTTAGTGTTCTGTTGCTGTGAATAGGCAACATGACCAAGGCTTGTAAAAGAAAGCATGTAATTGGGAGCCTGCTTACAGTTCCAGAAGGTTAGTCCATGAGCATCGTGGCAGGAAGCATGGCAGCAGGCAAGCATGGAACTGAGAGCTTATATCCTGATCCACAGGCAGGCAGAGGAAAACAGTTTAGCATGGGCTTTTGAAACCTCAAAGCCCACCCCAAGTGACACACTTCCAAAAAGGCTATGCCTCCCTAATCTTCCCAAACAATGTCACTAACTGGGGACCGAGCATTCAAATATATGTGTCTATAGGGCCTGTTCTCATTCATATCATCACATTCTGTTTCCTTCTTCCATGAGCTTGTAGCTATATCATAATGCAAAATTCATGCAGTCCAACTTTAAAAGTTCCCATAGTCTATATAGCAGTCTCAACACTAAGTCTAAAGTCTCTTCTGAGAGTCAAGGCAGTCTTCTAATTGTAACCTCCTATAAAGTCAAAAGCAGAAAGCAGATCACATACTTCCAACATACAATGGCACAGAATATACATTATTATTTAAAAATGGAGGAAATACTGGACCAAAGCAAGAATAAAACCCAATCAAGCAAACTCCAGATTCTTCAACCCATGTCTGATGTTATGGGCTTATTAGATGGCTCTTCCCTTCCAGCTTTGCTGACTACAACACACTTCTCACGTGGGTGGTTTTGTCTGCAGTTCTCCTTCACAGGTATATCACATCTCTGGCATCTCCCACATCTTGGGGTCTTCAACACAATCCAGGCTTCACCTTCAAGCAGTGACTTCCTTGCTACACACTCAGCTTCAGTAGCTGTCAACCACAGAGAAAAAGACTCCACAACTTGCCTTCTGTATTCTTAAATCCAGAACCACTGGCTGAGTTTTGCTGCCTGCTAGAGCTGGAAGACAGTTCCCTCCAAGACTTTCATTTGCATAAGTTGGCTTGTTGATGGTTTCCCTTGCTGCATAAGCTTTATTTCTCACAAACTGGAAGCTTGACTGGATGGATCTTAGCCCTTTATTCCATTTAGCATCAGGCTTTTCTTTCAGCCTCCCATCTCCTTGAGCACAGCACTTAGCTCCAACATTACATTTCTCCTCCTTTTTCTCCTCAAATTGCATTTTGTATTTGGCCTCTTGCTCTTTTTCATTGTGGATCTGTGTAAGAGTGTGCACTAGTAACCGCATGACACAGTCAATACTAGGCTGTCTTGAAATCTCTTCTGACAGAGACATTAATCCAAAATTTGTCAGTTTAGCCTCGGGCAGATTCTTAGGACAAAGGCAAATACAGTCACCCTCGTCCTAAAATATCAAGAATCGTTTGTAGCCCAGCTGCTAATATTAATATTGTTTCCCTCTGGAACCCTTGGCAGTACTGTCTTCCTGGCTTTTCCCAGGATGACCCTTTTAAGCCCCACTTACAACATTCAACCACTTTTCTAGAGTCCCAAAGTCTTCCACATTTCTCCAACAACAGTGTGGTCAGGGCTGCCCTGTCACAGCAATAGTGTCTAAACTAGACTGGTCTCAAACTCACTATGTAGCTGAGAATGACTTTGAACTTCTAATCTTCTTGCTTTTATTTCCCTAGTGCTGTGATCGTGGGCAAGTACCACCATGCCTATTATTTTAGGCATTGCCAAGGGATGAAGTCTACAGCTTGGGCTGCTAGGCATTTGTTTTACCAATTGTCCCCCATCCAGTCCTCTGAGGCTTCAACTATTGAGAGAAAATTCATTTATAATACATGCATGATCCCATAATGGCTGTTTGCAGATTCTTGGTGTCTTACTCAAGGGGTTGATGCAAGTGCTCACAGATTTGCAATGTATCCAGGAAACTTCATTCAAAGCAAAGTATACATCAGAATGTTCCGTATTAGAGCAGGAGGGCACATACATGAGAAAATACTTTGCTTCCAAAGTGTTTGGGGCTTCCATATATTTATTTGTTGTTTGTTTTATGTTTCCAAGACTGGTTGTCCTCAAACTTGCTCTGTAGACAAGACTGGCCTCAAATTCACATCTGCCTGCTTCTGCCTTCCCAGTGCTGGGATTAAAGCCTGGTGTCTCAGGGTTTCAGTTGCTCTGAAGAGACACCATGATGGTCACATGGCAACTCTTATAAAGGAAAACATTTAATTGTGGTGGTTTACATTTTCAGAGGCTTAGTCCATTGTTGTAATGGCAAGAAGCAAGGCGGTACACAGGCAGGCATAGAGTTCTTTATCTCGAAGGCAACATGAAGTGAACTGTCTCACTGGGTGTGGCTTGAGCATAAATGAGGCCTCAAAGCTGCCCTCCACAGTGACACACTTCTTCCAACAAGACCACAGATAGTGCCACTCCCTTTGGGGGGCCATATTCTTTCAAACCACCACACCTGGCATTTCCTTTTATGGGCTCAAGAGAAGTTTGGTTGTGAAGACACTGAATTTGAGTGGCTCTCTACTGATATTTACTGTTTTTGCTCTTTTGGGGGACTGCCACCCAGCT